GTCGCGCAGCACGTGCCATCGTCCCGCCCCACCGCGGGGCCGCCCTTGAGGGGAACGAGCCGGGGCCAGCCGCCTCTCCTGTGCTGGAGCCGGTGCTTCCTCTCCAACCGACGGGTCCTCGAGTGAGGGGCCGGCCCGGCCTCCCGTGTGGCGCGGCGGAGGCCAGCGCTGCCCTGAGGGAGAGAAGGGGCGCGGGGAGGGCGGCCCGGCCTGCGCCGGCAGCGGCCGAGGCTCGGCTGGAGGCTGTGGGGTGGGCATGATGAATTTTGTTCTCAGCGAATTAAAGTAGCACGTACGGGTGCTGCTCGGTTGCGGTTGTGATAGCCCGTTTGTGGTTGAGTTGATTGCCGTGTCGGTTCATGTGCCCAAGGGCTGCTCCACTTACTTTGCGAGTTCATTTTAATTTGATTTCTCTCATATAGCATGGTGAGAGAGTATTTTTCTATTTGAAGTAGTTATATTGCGTGTTAGTGTTGGGAAAGCAGGTTCCAAAGGTTCATTTTGGCAGAGCCCGGTGCAGCGGTTACTCCTCAGGCGATGGCTCTGCCCCCTCAGAAATGGCTGTTGGTCCCAGGGCCTTCCCGCAGGGCTGTGTCTGGAGCCCATCAGTGCAGCTTATGCTTCAAAATAGGGGCGATTTATCTAAATTAAAGTGAGGCCTCCTCGAGAGAAGGGGACCTTGTGAGTCCAGCACCCTTAACGTGCAGGTTGTGATGGCCCCCCTGTTCCTCAGTGCTCTAATGAAGGACTCTTCTTCAGTTATTTTTAATCTGGAGTGTTTGTTGTGGAGATCTTTAATGCCAAAAGTATTTTACTTTTTATTGTACAAATTAAAGAAATTAGTCTTCTAAAACTGGTGCTTAAGTGTAGCTTCAGAACATGATTTTCTGTAGAGGTGGGGGTAGGTCTCTTTACCCAAGTTACAGGCGATGGGACAAGAGGAAACGGCCTCAAGTTGCACCAGGGGAGATTCAGGTTGGAGATTAGGAAAAAGTTGTTCACGGAGAGGGTTATCAGACATTGGAATGGGCTGCCCAGGGAAGTGGTTGAGGTACCATCCCTGGAGATATTCAAAAGATGAGTTGACATGGTGCTCGGGAATGTGGTTTAGTGTTGATGTGTTTTGTTTGTGGTTTTGTTTGTTTGCTTTTTTATTATTATGGTTGGACTAGATGATCTTAAAGGTCCCTTCCAACCTAGGTGATTCTGTGATTCTGTAAAATATTTAAATATTTGTGTGCCTACCTGAATTAATCTTTAAATCCATGCTTTTTGTAGTTTCCTGGCCTACAGCTGCCTTCCGTCATACTCTGATCTGAACATTTACACCATGGCAGAAACGCTTTACACAAAGAACAAAGGTAATAAAGCTGTAGGTGGAGGTTCAAGCAGCAGAATCACAAGTGCTGACTTCCTGTTGAAAAGCTCTCAGTTTAGAGGCTGAATTTCTGAAATATCTAACAAAAGTCAGTATTTTGTGAGCAAACTATACAGGGTATTTTTTGCTAAGTGTTGAAACAATGCATGAAGTTTTAACTGCAGCACAAGTGTAATAAGAGAGAATTTGTCCAAAGCTTGACAGTGTTCTTCTGTAATTGTATATATGCTTGATTATTGATAAACGTCATCAGTATGAGTATGGCTTATAAATACAGCTAACTCCTAATTATCCAAACTTGTGTGGGCTGGAATGTCTTAGATAATTGAGAAAACAGGATAATTGGAGTGCTGAGGAATTTGGCACAGATACATGCTGTGGGAGTCGCAGTTCCTCCAGCAGTGTTTCTTGCCTTCATCAGTGCCTCAGTACTGTCTGATCCAAGTTCTCTTTTACTTCTAATTGGGGGGGAAAGAGGAGGGAAGGACTTGATTCTGGGAGATCTGAGATAGCTTGGTATGCAGCCGTCTTGGAGCTGGAGTGTTCATGAAATTTGATTTCATGTTAGGCAAGAGTTTTAGTTTAGGCAAAGTGTACAAAATCAGCTTGCTTCCAGGGGGAGAAAAAAAGGCCACATGAGCTTTATGTTGGCTGGTGGAGAACTTGGGATAATACATATGCCAGACTGGAGCAAGCTCTGAATGGTGCGGGTAGTCTCCAACTGAAGCAATTTTTTTGTCAGTTGCCCACTTATAAAAACAAAGTTCTTAGTATATTGGTATGCAGCCTTAGCTGAATGTTTGTCTTGTAAGAGTGGTTTGATAAATAATAAACTCACTGGAAAGACTACAAGGCTTATAAGGCACTCACTGGAAAGTCAAAATCTTATTTCAGAGTATTTTATTTCTGAATACTTGTTGATGTGACAAAACTACAAGTATAAACTTAACATAGACTGCATGTTTAACAGTATTGAAATAAACTTGTTCTGTTTCAGCTACTGTAAAATTGCATATTCTGAATTTTTGCCCTGTGGGTATTAGAAATTATTTAATTTGTTCCTGCTGAACAAATTTAATTAAATTTGTGGATGGAGGACATTAAGACTTAAATGGAATGAGAAGCACAGAGAGGTAACAGTGTTGCTTTAATAATATCACTGATGGTAGGTTTGAATAAGTGTGGTGGTGGAGCAATAACAAGAAGTGACTTCCACAGTGTGACATGGTCCTAGCATCTCCGTTTGCTCAAACGTGCTAGCAGAATTGTAGGAGTAGATAAGAGCCTTGTGTCTTAATACAAATACTCCATAGAAAATGCAGACTTTGGTGTTTTTAGTCATACCCCTTTGCAAACGCTTACGTTTCTAGGAAGTTCCATGGAAGACATAACCGGCAGAGGGAACTTACTGTTGACAGCTGCAGCCAATAAAGGAAATACTGTGAGTTACTGCACTTTATAATTGCCCTAAATATTCTGAACATTTGTGGAGAGCAGAAAAGATCACCATACATTGCTTTTTCTAGAACTTTGAAGTTTTGTCTCTCTTTTTTGTCACATTTTGGTATGTTAGAGTATTTATGCTCTAATGGGCAGCTTCTTTCTGGTGAGATTAACTTCAGATTTTTTGTCCACAGGTGTCACATTCTGACTTGGTTCATGAGAAGCCAAAGAAATCGCAATATTCCTCTGAAAATGTTTTCTCTATTGGCTATGAGAAGAGTCTCTTTAATTCATTAGTACCAGCCCCTCAAATGAGGACTTGCCATCATTGCGGTCTGTTTGGTAAGTGCCTGTTGTCTTGTAGTCTGTGATGCATAGTGTATTTATCAGTGAAGCCAGATCAGAGGGTTTGCTTAGAAATGTCTTAAAATATATGTACATTCTAATCTCTCAGATGCAAGTATAGTGACTCTTCAGAACATAGTTGGGAGTACAGAACCGATAAACAGAAGGGAGCATCTCCTTAATGAAAAGTCTTTGGGGTTTGGGGTTTTTTTTTCCTTCTTAAGTGTAGAAGGAATTTGGGACATCTGGGGCAGTAATGTCTGATAGGTGCATGTGAGTACAAATACCTATTTGCATGTGCTTAGAACTGTAGTGGAACTGTCTTGTGAAGCAGATATTTAATAATACATGGAGGCTGTATCTTAACAGCTGTTGTCTCTTCTGATATAGATGTTTCTCTCTGACATTTCCTTTTTACCCTTTTTTTTTTTTTAGGATCCCTCAGATGTTCCCAATGCAAGCAAATATACTATTGCTCTGCAGATTGCCAGAAGAAAGATTGGTCAACACATAGTGTTGTATGTGAGCCAGTTAAACAGAAGTAAGTTTGTTAAAAGTTCTGCCAAATAATTTTTACTGAAAGGCAATATCCCTCCCAAGACAACTTAAAAGACCACATAAAAGCACTATTACAGTAAAATATGTTGCTTGTTCTTAGGCTAGTACTACATTATATCATACCTGTCCAAAAACTCAGCTCTGCTGCGTTAGAAAGGTGACTTGAAATATATTCCTGGAGTTCTTAAGGTGTTCTATAGTGTGATTTAAAGCAAAAGCATTATTTTTACTTGTGTCAGAACTATGTGAGCATGCAGTAAAGAATACCAGTCTATCACATGACTTTGTTATTGCTGTTGATGATGTGGGGAAGGGAGGTCAAATGAGACTGTGCTTTTCAGCAGTGGCATTGTTAATGGATTGCATTTAGCAGACTCTGAAGAGGCATCCTTTGAATCTAACTGTAGCCTCAGTGAACTTCATGGATATTTTATCTTTGATGAGCACAGCTCAATTAGAAGAAGTTGTCTCAGCCAGGCCATTCTCTAGCTGCTCATTATGCTAGTTTAGATGCTCAAGAGATCACTCTCTAATCTGTTCCAATTAAAGTAAGCACCATTAGGTTATGACACAGAATAAATGGACTGGTTGGCTTTGGAACAGTTTAGGGGAGTGATCTGAGCATTTAAACCGACAATCTCTAGCATGATGATAGCAGTGTAGTCAACCTGCAAGCAGGTGTCCATAATAAAAGTTTACAAGAGAGATGTTTTTTTTCCGCAAGTTTTTTTACAGTGACTGAATCTGCTATATATGTTATCTGGATATTACTTACATATTCACTTGAAACAGCAACATTTCTTTTTTTTATGATTTTATAGTTCTTAAGTTTTGCCTGGGATCACAGTGTTAGCAGAACTCCACAACAACATTCTCCATTTTAATCAAAATTAATTTGGGTTTTGTTGATGGCATCAGGGAAAACACACCAAGTGTTGCATGACAGGGATCTAATAAATCTACCATTCTGCATTTTCTTGGGGGAGGAATAAGGGTTGCCAAAACCCACATACTGTGAACACAGCCTTTGTCATATTTGCAAGTAAGTGTTATGAATGCTACTTGTCTAGTTCTTCAATATTAACTTTTTTTGTTTTTAATTATTACAGCGTAAGTAATAACAATGGAGGCAAATTACCTGATAAAACTGAGAAAGGAGTTTATCATAAGGTACAGAATATGATTTTCACTATGTCTTGAATGGATTTACTGAGCTAGTTGCAATATGTGTAAATTAACTTGTACAGGAAAGGAACAAATTCCAAATAATCTACTAATTTTAGAAAGATCAGTGCTTCAAATCAAAAGTTAGTAATAAAATGTTATTTCTTGAGCCTTAGCAATGCTATCTGATAACTTGTTTTTGTTTGGAAAAACATTTGTGGAAAAGTTAAAAATCAAGACACGTATGATGTTGCTAGAGAAGCATTTTAGGAAGGAAATAGATGTAAACTGTCCAATCAAGAGATCATACAATATGAGTAAACAATTTGTAGCAAATCTATTTTGAAATAACAGGTGGTTTTATTTTTCGCTGGTTCATCTAAATCTTGAGCAAGTTTGGCGGAAGGAAGAGAGCTTATATTGCACATTGAACAATCTTTAATGTATTTTGCTGTTGTAGTATGAGATGTGTTTTATGGAAAATATTCTAGATGAAACTTTGTTGCAAGTAAACAATTTGGCAGATGTAGAAGTAATCTCATTCGTTCTGCATTGTCTGCAGTATGTTGGTCCAAATGTAAAAGAGGTTTTCCCTCACGATGTGTATAAGATTATTTTTCCTAATGTTTCTAGGATGACACAGATGGTATGCATTAGGTATGTTACACTAAATGTAAGGAAACAGGTGAAATTCAATTCCTCCTATTTGTGAGAGCATCACCAGCAGAAAATACATCTGAGTTGTCCTGTAAAACAGGTGTGAAAAGAAGAGGTGAATGTGTGAGACTTCAGCACTTGTTTTTCATTATCTGTTCAGTATATCTCTGTGACAGTGTTTTAATTTATTTTCAAGAGTAACACAAAGTCTGTGTGACTTCTTAGTGAAAGTCAAAAAAAGCACTTCTTTACATGTTTCTTGAAATGCTATAAATTCCTTTTTTCATTTTCTACTACAAGTAGCTGCAGCTGGACAACTCCAGCTTAAATGTAACTTGTAGCTGTTTTAATTAGGGTAATTCAACATCTGTGGATTTCCTCAAGACAGAAGAACCCATCAAGAAAATAATGCTTTCGGATCTTCAGACTCTAGAGATCAAAAAAGCTATGGAAGTACAGGTACTTTTGTTTTGTAAGACTCCTATGATGCTTTGTTAGGTTGCATTTGATGGTTTGTTAAGCATCCATAGCTGTGTGTCACCTCAGCTCTTTGTCTTATTTTGCTCACATGGAAAATTCCTTTATTTTTATAAAGATGAGTAAATGCAAACGGGAGCAAGGGGAGTAAGTAAGGAATATTATTTCTGCTAAGATCAACATTACTGGTTTTGTTCCCTGCAGTTAATTACTTCTAGATTCAAAGTAAAAGAACAAAATCAGGTGTAGGTTGAGATGCATTTGTTGAAATGAACACTGGTTCCAAGTAATATACTGTAGGCCGTTCTTGCATACGTGTCATCTGTTGTGGCTTTCCTCTTTAGGGTACAGTCACAGAATTCAAGAGTCCAAGTGAATTTTATATACAGATGAGTTCTCCAGAAGTTTTAGACCAGATCAATAAGCTTTATGTGAAACTGCAAGACTGCTACGCTAACACAGTTATTCAAGAACAATATATTGCTATCAAAGGGGAAGTCTGCGTTGCAAGGTGTTCTCTGGATCAGGTAATATCTGATTGTCTATAAAACAGACGTTCTATGTTGAGCTCATGTTTTGCCTATTTTGCTTTTATGCCTTTAACAGTGGAGGCTGCTAATTAGAGATCAGTTTACTGTGGTGGAATTCTGGTAGTAACTAACTTTATAACATCTGGAACTGAAATGTAAGGTACTGATTTTCTTGCTCCCTCTAAAAGGTTTACTTCTATGTGTTTATGTACTTGAGCTGTATGGGCACTGTTTGTTCATACTGGTACTTGAAGGCTATGTGTGTTCTTAGCAAATTAGAACAGTTTGGAATATGATTCTCATTATTAAAGGAAGTTATTCTTAATTCATTTCTTACATGACTTTTCTGTTTGCATTTCTATAGCCACATCCAGGTTTTTTTTTCCCTTCCTACCCTTTTTTTGTATTTCTTCCCCTTTTTCTTCTCCATTGTTAGGAGATTCTTGATTTACTGTACAGTAGCTGATATCCATAGGAGTAGAATTTTATCTTCACACCAGTCAGTGAGTTGTTGTGTTCGTTTGAGTTGCTTCAGAAATGGTCAGTGCCTTTGTTGATAAACGAACCTGATGAAGTAAAGCCAAATATGTTGTGCTCTTACTAAGATTATCGCTTATTCCTACACAGACCTGGAACAGAGCACTGGTAAAAGATGTGGATATATTGCAAAAGAGAGCACAAGTTTTCTATATAGATCATGGAAATGAAGAAAATGTTCCACTCTCTTGGGTTAAAGCTCTGCAGAAAGACATGGAACTGCTGTTTCCTCCATGTGTGAGTTCTGTTTTCCTGAAAGTAGCTGTGGTATTTTAATGAGTAGCTCTAAAATGAGTATAACTCACGTCTCAGTGTAACTGTCACTATCACAGTAGTGATACTTACTTACTTGGAGTAAAGACAGCTGTTGGTGTCAGTTCATTGCCGTACTTATTGAATGTCTTCCATTAAAAATTAATAATTATATTATCTCCCACTATAAATAGTGGCAGATTCAGAGGAAACGTAGTTTACATTTTAAACTTAATTCTCTTGTAAAGAAGTTAGTTGATAGTGCTTCAAATTCCAATAGCAGCTTTAACTTCTATATGCAAGATGATGTTTTTGAGGGCCTTAATTATTAGTTCCAAACAACCTTCTATCTCTTGTAATTCTTTCCAGGCCATTAAGTGTTCCTTTGCTAATTATGATCCAAAAGAAAAAGGATGGAATGAAGGCATCACCAGCTTTTCTTCCCAGCTCATGGGAAAGCGCTGTTCAGTAACTGTTGTTGATGTATTACAGGAGGAACTGATGTTGAGTTTTGCTGTTGACATTGTTCTTCCAGATTTTGGTAAGTACTTGGTAGCATGGGGGGAGAAAAAACCAACACAAATTTGAGACCATGTTGTTCCTTTCATCTCGTGCATTTTTAACTCTGTAAAAATTATAGTATCGGTTTCTAGTTCCACTAAGATTTTGTGAGTGTTAATTTCGTGGATATACAGTAGGAGCCTTCAAAGTTTAAAGAGTCAGCAAGAAGAATAAAATTGCTTCAGTGTGTTTAAATTTTGTTGTTTAATGTAGCACAGCATTTTAAGTTTCTGAATCCTGACTCATGAGGTTGGAATCTGTACATTTCAAAGTCATCCAGCTGTCGATCAGTAACCTCTTCTTCCTTTATTTTTTTTTCTCCCCATGTACAGTGTCAGAAAGCCTTTCTAAGGGAAGTAAAGAAAAAATACCGAAAGATGAAGAGTTTCTTCACTGTGCGAATCCAGTTACAGAGTGTGTCTCCCCGTGTGTTGGAGATGTGTTTTCCGGTGTGGTTTCCTGCGTTCAAAATCCAGAAGTCTTTTTCTGTCAGCAGACACACAATGCCCGTAAGTGACACGTTGGAAACGGGATGTAAGATACTGAGTATGGCATTTTTCTCTGCATTAGAGAGTGTTGCTGGTCTTGTAGTTTGACCTGAAATGGTGATTCCCTGGAACATTAGAACATGCCTTAGTCAGTTAAGAGCCATGGCGTTGTAGAGGATGTTTTCGGCAGCGTTAGCCGTTAATATCACTTAATCAAATGTAAGATGATAATTTTTGAGCAGTCTGGGTAGAGTAAAGTAGAAAAATGGTGTGGCATGGATTTTAGCAATCTGAAGTCAATTTGTATCAGAAATACTTTCTCCCATGTGTTCCAAAAATGCACGTGAGTTTCTAATTACTTTGATGCCATCTTGCTTTACCACTGGAGGGAAGTGTTTCCTTAATAGCCTGGCTTGTGGACTGAACTTCTTTGTTACTTAGTTACGGGGAGAATATCAGAGTATGAGAAGACCAGATAATAGTGCCCAACCCCTGCTTTGGTGTCTTCTGATACAGTAAAACATAAGACCATAAGTAACACTATAGTATAGAATACTAGGCTGCAGGGATTTCTGGTGCATCTCCCACGGTGCCCATAAACAGATGTCTGGGGAGAATAAGAGCAGAGTATATTTGTGTGATGTGTCCTCCTTGTGCTGTCAGAGCCAGCATTTATTTTTTTTTCTGGCTAAAAGGGCTTTTGGAGTTTGATGTGATTTGGAGTATCTCCTACAGTGGGTTTCTCTTCTGTGTACTTGCACAGCCTTTGAATTCTGGGTGGACTCGTAGCGTGTCCTTTGGCAAGAAGTGACACTCATCAGCTGCCTGTTGTTTGAAGAGCTGTCTTCTTTGGTTTCCTTCTAGCCTGCCTCCACTAGCTTGGTTTCAATTCCTACTGGCTTCAGTTTTGTTCCTGTGTTGAAAAAGTCTGTGACTGGTTTTCCCTGTCTGTTCTTCTTACCGCTGTGATTCCTCAGCCTCATGTGAGGACTGTCTTTGATGTTACTGATTGAAGAGTCCTAATCTCATCGCTATTTTGGTATTATGTTAAAAATTATCTGAAATAATTTCCATTGTACTGCAAGATGTTCTTCCAGAGTTTGAACTTGAGATTTGTGTACTTTTGTAATAATTACAAGAATACGTGTGTTCCAAAACTTGTATATTTTAATATCAGGTCAACTTGCTGAGCTTCAGGTGTCTCTTAATGAACATTGTGACAAATTTCCCAGTAGTCCAGCTTTCCGTCCTGCTGTTGGAAATGTGTGCTGTGCCCAGTTCACAGGTAAAAATGAAGTGAAAATATGACTCTTATGTCACTTTACTATTAAAAAACCCCCACATTTTATAATTAAGTTTAGAAATGTTTCATATAGATTTCATTTATTTGTGTCTTGTTTTAGCAGTGGACAGCATTTGGTAGTGATTTCAAAAATTATTAGTAGCAAATGACATCTCTCTGTTGTGAAGGTTTGGGTGAACCCTAATGCTGCTGGTTTTTATGCTGAGATTGATGTATTTTTGTAGTAGTCTGCCCCAAAAAATCATTCTGGTCTCAGAAGTTAAAAGCAAGTACAATGAACCTCTGTATTTTCCTTTCTAGAGGACAATCTTTGGTATCGTGCTGCTGTTGTAGAATATGTTTCTGAAGATACTGTTTTGGTGGGCTATATAGATTATGGTAATCGTGAAGTTCTTCCATTGACTAAACTCCGTCCAATGATTCCAAGATTAATGGACTTGCCAGCTCAGGCCATAAAATGTACCTTGGCAGGTATGAAATAAATTGCAAACTGTTTCAAACTGTCTAGAGGCCAAGTAAGTGGGGTAGATAACAATCTGTAGTGTCTTATATTGGAGTACGAGGCAGGGTGGAGGTAATAGTAAGCATTATTTCCAGAATTCTTAATTGTTGCAGCATATCTACTGTATGCAACAAATCTTTCCTAATGTACCTGGTGACCTGCAGTTACATGTTTGGAAAACTGCTGTTTTAACATACCTGTTAGGTTTTGCATGTGCTTTTGTTCTAAGTAAAACTCAGTCACCTACTGAATTTGTGGAATTCTTAAATCTGTTGTGTTTCTAACAGTGCAGGGGAAGGTAAAATTTCATTTCATATATTGAAGTTCAGAACTGTATGTGTGTCCCTCCTCTGGGCCAAATCTAGTGAAACTGCTGGTAGACTCCTCTCTGTAGGCTTGTGAAATCTGTCAAGTCGGAAAGGACTTTGACTCTTTCTAGTTCATCCTTCTGTCTCAAGCCAGGATCACAATCTGTTGGTTTTGACCTACTTGTTGTATGTTATACATAGAACAGCATAACCTGCTGTTGGAAATTTTTTATTTTCCTTGTTAATTGCCATCACTATGCGAGATAGGCCGCCCCTTTGCTTCCATACCCTTCCTTTAGAATACTTTTGATGTCTGTCTTTCCTTTATGATACTTGTTATTTAACCTGCTTTTGAAATTTTTTGGTAAAATTCAGAGCAGCATTCTAGCTTCTTACTTTGGAGGAAAACATAAAACAATGCCTCCCTTGTGTGTAGAGGTGAAACCAATGCATATGGCATGTGACCAAAAGAAATTTCTTCTTGGGGGCAAATCATGATGCCTGTAGCTGCTAATGAGTGTTCTAGGACTAAGAAAGGTTTTAAACACAACATGAACACAAAGTGATCAGATGTTTCCTGGTTAGAGTCAAAGATTACTACTGCATAAAATATATCTTTCTGGAAGGCAAATTCTGCTAATCCGTTAGTATAAAGTTCTGGTTATAACTTGTATCTTAGAAATAAATTTAGTAGCATAAAGACTAAACGTTTGAGGAGGAAGGAGCTTACTGTAGCAGATGCATTAGCTGAGTGATGGTTAATATTGTTCAAAACCATAGGTTGTATTCACGAGGCCCAAAGACTGACACTTCTTAGACATTCATACTAAGGAAGAATTAAATCTGAATTCTCTTTGTGTAATAGGCTAATTATACATGATCTTTGCTAGATCTTTGTTAAATCCAAGTACTAATGAAGTTCAGAATCTGTGTAATTGGATTTGCAACCTTGTTACAGGCATGAGTTGGGGTGAGTTACTTGGTATATCTGCTGCTTAATCTATTGTTTTAAAGAGTGTCGTTGTACCTTTCCACATATTGTTGAGACTTGGACTGTCCTCAGAACCTTTCCTTACTGTGTGACTTCTTTAGGTATAAAGCCACCATTAGGAGCCTGGACCTCAAAAACTACCCTTTTAATGAACCAACTGGTGAAAGACAAAGTGTTCACAGTAAAAGTGGTGGATAAAGATGATGTTAGATCTGTGGTGGAGCTTGTAGATACATCAGTGACTCCAGTAATAAATGTATCAAGCTGTCTCATAGAGAAAGGCTGTGCAGCTGAGGAATCGAGGATGGCCTCACCGGCAATCGGAGTGAGTGATGTTAAAGCAAATGGTGAGTACAAGTATATCCCGCTGAACTGGTGTTATTTAACCTGCTACTGGAGTGTGTACAGAGAATGCAAGTTCTGAACTGGTAAGAACTCTCCAGCCTGAGTCGTGAAGTCTAGCCTTCACAGTTTGGCTGTGGCAACTTTGCCACTTTGCCATGAGGAAATTGTGTGTTTGTGTGTCTATATGTCTGTGTATATGTATATACGTGTGCATACATAACAAAGTTGCAGTTGCTTACTTCTGGAAGATCATACTAGAATTTCACTTTCTCTGGTTAGAAGCCTTACAGTTTCTGGTTGAAGTATGATATGACTAGTTAATACCTGCTCATTCTTGCATTTTTTACATTTGATTACCAAAGCTTCAATTTGATAGATTTGTACATTTTATGTCAGATTTTTTTGTATTGTGGGAAGATTCCTAGCTTCTGTCATGTGAAGCACGATAAGCCCCTCTTTTCTATCCCATCTCTGGTAAAACTTTGTATTCTCTCCTTGTTGGTCTGTAATGAAAACTGGGGGAAGTCTTTTTGTCAAGGCTACGTCCAAATCCCTTAATTTTGATCTTTCTCACTAAATGCTTTGTAGCCAGGTCGTGCTTATTTGTTATCTTTCTTCAAAGGGTAAGGAATCTTTTATACAATTCAAATGAATGGTAACTTTCATGGTTATATGCAAGCACATGTTCATCTCTGCCACCATCCTGGACTTGTTTCATACTTCAGGGGTTTCTTGGTTTCTTCTCACCTTCATTTAAATTTCTTACACCAAGTGGGAGCTTTTGAATGCAGGTTCTAAACAGATTATCAACTTTTGTCTTATGTGGTTTAAAACTTGTTCTTTTTATGTTGGAACTTCAACAGCTACATTGATCTGTCAACTTGCAAAATAATATTTCATTAACTTGTTTGCTTTATTTTAAACTTAGTGATTGCTGTAATCCAGCATGGTATAAGAGTAGATTTCAGTGAACTTCCCAGAAATTAATAAACAATGTATCTTTTCCATTTAGAGAACTACTCGCCATCACAAGAAAGAATAAACAATTATATTTCACAGTTACTAAGCATCTTAAAACTTTCTCTAAACTTTGAGCTGTTAATTTTTATTTTTCTCATCAATCTTTCTTCCTTCTGAAGTGGAAAATTCAATCAGCTTCTGCTTCTTTGAGTGTATTTCTCAAAACATACCAACTGTGCTTTGTCCCTTCCAGTAGGGATCTGGCAGTTGCTTACCGTGTGAAGGGCAGTCTTGTATTCCACTGAAAACCAAGAAGAATTGAGAGCTTCTTTTGAATTTTTAATTTTATTTTATTATTTTTTGGTGGGGTGGGGTTGGTTTGTGGCTCATTTTCTCTGTCTATTGGCAATATGACTTCCTACAGTAATCTGCTGGCGGCCGCAGTACTGGGTAGGTGGAACAGCATCTCATTGTGGCCATACTTGAAGTTCAAAACTTGCTTGAGCTTCATTTTCAGGAAAAAAGCCCAAACACTTAAAACTGGAAAGATTTATCAGAGCCCAGCCACTTGGACTTCAGCCTTACTCTTCCCTGCTCATCTGTGGCCTGCCCTTCTCAGTAGTGATCAAATACATTAAGCAACTGGCACATTTCTTTGTCTTGCTTTCATTCTGCGAAGAGGCCCTCGCTGGTAATCAGTCTGCTGGATTATTTATAGCAAGTTTGAGGACATGAATGAATATTCAGGATGCTTTTGTTGTTTTGTTTTGTTTTTTTTTCCCCTCTAAAAATCCTCTAATTTATCTTCCTTCCTCTACTTCTCTCTTCTCTGTCCTCTGTAGAGGACACAATGAACAAAAGCATTTGCAAGTGGAGCAAATTAACTCTTAAACAAACAGTAGACGTCATAGTGTGTACGCTGTACAATCCTGGAGAATTCTACTGTCAGATTTCAAATAACAGTGGTAAGTTTATTCAGCTTTTTTTTTTTTTCTGCTAGTTTGTTTGCTTCCTGAGTTTTCACTCAGAAGCAGAGTGAGATCCCATAACGTGTCACATGCACTGGCCAAACTGGAGAATTCCCCTGGTGTTACCTGGCTGTAAAATACACTTTAGATTTTGGAATGAAGGATGCTTGATGGATTAGCAGGAAGAATTACTGGTCACTTTGTTATCGTATTGAACTAACTTGTTAGTAAATATCAGCTATCTCACCTCTTCCTGTTAATAAGCATTTTAGTTAAATAGCATTTAGGCATTGGAATGGGCTGCCCAGGGCAGTGGTTGAGGCATCATCCCTGGAGGTATTCAAAAGAAGGTTGACATAGTGCTTAGAGACATGGTTTAGTGATGATGGTGTTTTGTTGTTTTTTTTTTATCAGAGTTAGGTTGATGGTTGGAGTAGATAATCTTAAAGGTCCCTTCCAACATAGACAATTCTATGATTCTAAATAGTTCAACTCAGTGTCGAGTTCTTTTGTGAAATTCTAAAATTCACAGAGATCTCCCATCAGATCTTTTATAAGTAAGCTATACAGCAAACAGTATCGATAAACTTCACCTTATTTCATTGCTCTTGTTTTTTTTTCTTTCTAATTTTCAGAGTTACTTGCCTTAAAGTTACTCAACAAGTCATTGTCTGAATACTGTCAGAAGACTCCACCAAGTATTATTAAGCCTGAGAATGGAGATCCTTGCTGTGCTTTATTTTCTGGTAAGTAGAAGACTAATTTTTTTTTTTTTTTACAGGGTGAACATAAAAAAAAAAAGAGCGGATAGTTTGCATTGGCAGAGGATACCAAAGAATTAGATTTATTTACTAAGAAGTGCACGTTGGTAAACTTACTAAATGTGTGAAGTAATATTTTTTTCTTTTTTAAACTTTTTTTTAAAACAGATGATGGTAACTGGTATCGTGCTTTGGTGCAAAATGTTACTTCAGATGGAACTGTGAAAGTATTATTTGTGGACTATGGAAATGTTGAGGAAGTACCACTGGATAAAATACGGCCGATCTCATCCTCATTCCTAAAACTTCCATTTCAAGGAATTAAATGCTGGCTCTCAGGTAGAACTTCTTATGGATTCTTTCTTTTATAATAGCTGTTGCATTTAGAGACTTGCTGCTTTCAGGGGAAGAGGTGGTGGTAGGGTATACTTCACAGAACTGGTTTTGGTTTTTTTTTTTAATTTTGTGGGGTTTTTCTTGTTTTTATAGTAAATGTCTGTGTTGCTTTCAGCTTGTGGAACCCATTGTTTTAGCCTTATTACACAGCAGACTGGGATTTATGGTGGCTCTTCCTGAACTTCTGACAGTGCTGTGGAGTCATCTGCATGGAGGTTATGCACTGATTTACCAGTCAAAGGGAACTTGTCGTTTAGTTCTGCTTCATCTGTAGAGCTTACTAGCTTTGGATGCTGCTTTGCTAGGAATAAATGTGCTTTAGTGCAACTTAATTATTTCTCGAAATTTTTGCAGGCAAAGGAGCTCATCTGTTTTTATGAAACAAGTTGATATTTCAGTTCTCTGTAGGGATGTTTCGTTTCATTTGATTCCTATGGAGTTTGGTGCTGTGCTGCTGTCTCTCAGTCTTCTACCAATTCTCTGCCTCTTCCTTTTCCACACCAAATCACTCAGAATTCTAAAGAATTATTCTTTCTTTCTAACGTAGTCTACTTGGTTTAAAAATAAAAGATGTGGAAACAGGAAAAAGCTCAAAACCACAGTTTGTCAAGGTGTATTCTGCTGTTTGGTTTTTTTGTCTCTTAAAACGCTTTGGTTTTCTGTTCCTTTGATAAAAGGCTGTATTAAACTGATTGATAAACAGTTTTAACAGGGTTGTTTGTCCACAAGGATATACTTGGTAGAATATCATAATACGTAGCAAAGAAAACTTGTGAGTGCTGAGGGAATGTGTTATTTGAGAAGAAAGCAAGCAGGAGACTAGTTGAGGGAAGTACAGTGTGTACCGCTAAGATGGTAAAAGTAGCCTTGCTATTGGAATTGTGCCTTAAAGAAAAAAAAAGTTTGTGTTTTTCTTTAACAAAAGTACAATGTTGCAGCAAGTCACTTGATGGAGGTATTTTGAACTGTTCTCCTCCCTCCTTAGGTATAAAGCCTGGTAGCAGCAAGTGGATTCCAGAAGCTACAGCAAGATTTCATAGGTACACTGCAGGGATAAAGCTTCAAGCCAGAGTAACTTCCCTTTCCAGCGATGGGGCAGGTGTAGAGCTTATTGACAATTCCACAGGTCACCCAAAAGTCATCAATGAGATACTAACTTCTGAAAAATTGGCTGTAAAGGAAATTCTACCAGATAAAAAAAACTTCCCAAATAAGTCTGACAACAAAAAAGGTAATTAAGCGAATGTTAACTTGTAGATTGAGCAAGGATTTTCACTATTCCAGCCTTTAACTGTGATCTTGCTGTTTAACTGTAGTTAATAAATGTGTGGTCTTGAATATATTGTCAGTTTTTACAGTTAAACACAAGCTGCCCTGCAGGTGGCATTATAGACAAAAAGAGAAAGATAGAAATCGGTGCGTTTGTCTTAAATGAATGCTGTTTGAATATTTGATAGTAGAGAATGACAAATTTGCTACAACTGAAACTTTTCCCTTGTTTGCTTGCAAATATCTTATTTTTCTGAGTTTTTTTTTTACTTTAGCCACTTTTCCATGCTAACAGTTTATGAAAGAGCAAATTAAGAATTTCCTTGTTTTAAATTTCAGTTCTTGAAGTGAAGCCATGCAGTTGTCTCTAAAATTCAAAAATATATTCTCTAACAGTTACTTATAATATGTATGTGTTTGGAGGAAAGCGGTACACTGTATTTTCTTACTATTTCTATTAGAAACCTCACATGGGCACTGGAAGCCGGTTGAATTGGCTGTAGATGAGACTGTATCTGTCTGTGTAACAGAGGTTATAAGCCCAGACTTGTTCTACGCTGTGCCAGTTCAAACTAAAGGTAAGGAAAAGTCTTCACTGTTTGTAAGAAGTCACTATTGCAAGCTAGTCAATAAAACAAATGCCTATAGCAACTGAACCATGTGGAAATGTAGCTTGGACAGTAGGAAAATGTAAAAAATGGAAAAGGTGGGAACAGGGGAGCTTAAAAGTAGGTAATGCTCTTCACCATACCCAATTGTGGTTAGTTATCAAATGTGTTTTTTTTTTTTTTTTTTTTTTTTTAAAAAAAAAAAAAAAAAAAAAAAAAAAAAAAAAAAAAAAAAAAAAAAAAAGTTCTAGGAAAAATATTAAACCCTCATGCCACCCACTTCCCTTCTGTCAAAGACCGGTTCCCGCATGAGTGGTTTGTTATTAAATGTTTTTTTTTTTTTTTTTTTTTTTTCTGTAGATCAAGAGAAGCTACAGAGGCAGTTGATTGAACTAGAAAGCTATTGTAAATCTTGTAAGAACCAGCCCTTCAAACCAAAACTGGGGGATGCCTGTTGTGCCAGGTTTCCAGGTGAGGCAATCGTTGGCTCGTGTATTTCCTTGACTGGTAAAACACAACTTTCATTTTTTGCTTTAGAAAAAGGTAAAATGCTGCCTTTAAAGTTCTTCCAGATCTCTTAATTCTGTAACAAAGGATAGCCTGGCAGCATCTTTAGGGCAAAGAAACTGTCTGACAGTCCAGGAGAGAAAATGAGGAATGGAATAGGTTGTGCCCTGCAAAATATATAGAACTTTAAGAGGAAAGCAAGCTAGTTACTGTTTAAACTGAAATTTGATTGTGTTTGAGTCACAGGAGCATGAAATTCATGGCAGAGCAGTAGTGTGCTTACATCTATGCAGATTCACTTCCCGTTTGTGGGTGCCTGGGTGGGTTTTTTGTTGTTGCTTTGTGTGAGCACAAGGCAGTGACACTGGCTGTGACAACTGGTTGTTCAGCGAGTTGTCCAGGCTTAGGGAACTGTTAGTTCAAGTCAAATGCATTCTTAGCAGTGAGGGAACTTAATTTAGTGTCGTAGTCCTTCAGAAGAGATACTCGGCTGATAGATTAGCTCAATATTTTTTTTTAAAAAAGAAGTGTTGACTCATAATGTTGATTGTTACAGGATATCTGGCTAAGTGCTGCAAATGAACTTGGGTTGCTAGATCAGGTAACAGCTCACGGAAAACAGGACAGATAAATTTTAAAAACCCAGCAAAATAGGCAGACCAAAAAAGTGTATCTAAGGGGTTGACAGTTGTTTTTTTTAACTTCCACTGATATTTTTTTTTTCATTTTTATATTTTTTGTTTGGCTCTTCAGAATAACTGAGGAAAAAGGATTGGTTTTTTTCTTTTTAACTTTGATTATGTTTTAAGAGAGGATATGTGTTGGAAAACAAAAGCAAGTAGCTACAAATACACTGTGCAGGCATCCTTAAAACGGTATTGGAGTAAAAATCGTATCTGTATAATTTGAGCAAAATTCTGAAAGCAACACTTAAACTTTATGAATACAGCAATCGGAAACCATTCCTTGTTCTATAGGCTTGCTTCTTGTCAAGTGGCCTTTTGTGTATACTAGAGTATTTTAAAATTCTTGGAAAACTAAGCTGTGTTTATGAGATGGTACATGTGATTCTTCTTGTCCCAATCTTTTCAGGTGATGGCCGTTGGTACAGAGCTCTTGTTCTAAAAGCTTCTCAGTCTGCAGTGAAAGTACTATTCGCAGACTATGGGAACACAGAAACTTTACCACTTTCGGAGGTGCTGCCAATCACTGACTCATACTTGAAGCTGCCTTTTCAAACAATTACATGTTCACTTGCAGGTAAACAACAAACAAAAAAACCACAACTCCCCCCCCAAAAATGAGCCACAAACCAAAAAATACACACACACACACACCCCCAAGCAACCAACAATCCCCCCTAAAAAGCCCTGACTGATTTTCTCAAACATTATAAATCTGTACCTATTCTGATGACAGTGTTCATTCCTTGATACTGAGAAACAGTGCGATGTTCTGCTGAAATAGTATGCTGGTTAATACGGGGAAAGTTGCTTTAGAAAGTATGTTTCTAGTTAATTATCTGTAGAATCTAAGCTATTTATATTAGGAAGATTGAAGTCATATTATAAAAGAATTCTTTATAGAAGAAACTTGACTTTTTTTTTTTTTCAGGAATAGAGAAAGCTGAGCGGTCTCCATTATTACTTGACAAGTTGAAAGAAATGTTATTGAATAAATGCGTCACAATTACAGTGAAAGGGGTTAATGGAAATGTTAATTTAGTAACAGTGGAGAAACTTTCTGAAAATGAAAGTCTGAATGTAGCTGACAAACCGGCAGTGGAAGGTTTGGTAAAATCCAGCAGTGCTGAAAACTTACATACTGAATATCAAGGTACACTTAGTTTTCACTTAATTACTTCGAATTACTTAATTTTAAGAACTGTGGGGTGTGGGAACTGTGGAATGCCTAAGTGACATTTCCTTCCAAAAACCTTAGAGAATTCCACACATCACCCCTTAAATTAGGGAAACGGTGTCCATGTGTATTTTGTTCATTCACTTGCTTTGTTTTTTATAGGCAGTGGAGGTGAGACCAAATGCTGCTGCGCAGAATTAAAAATGCAAGTAAGGTTTAGTCCAAGCAATACTAGTTTTTTTTTATGTTCCCAGAATTTAAAAGAAGCCTTATGTGGGAAGCAAATGGGAGTAGGGAAGTGAATTTCCCCATGCTTTTTCTGAGTTTGTTTTATATGTGGTAAATAATTAGAGCACCCCAAAACTGCGGGAGGATAGTGTATAGATCACACAGACTCTGTTAGTCTATATTTTGCCACACATGCAGCTCTAAATTTTTTTCCTAGAGTATGTAGGCTCAGGAGATCTGCTTTTGTCAACTGTTGTGTAAAGGTAGTTGTGGTGTTTTCCATAAACTGTGTCATTTGGACAAAGGGACAGCTGGGGTTTTTTTTAAGTGATACGGCTGTGTTTTGCTGTTGATAAAACTTGGCAGACAGCTGCACATGTAAGAAAATTCTTACAATGTCTATTTCAGGTAGCAGAGATTAATATTAATAGGTGTCACAGTTTTGGTCATGGCACTAGGGCTGAGAATCTGAGTGCAATAGATACTGGAATCTGTAACTGTGTTTGCCAGTTGCAAGATTATTTTTTTTCTTTTGGAAAAAAAACCCACCAAAAAAACCCAAACAAAAAACACAACAAAAACAAACAAACAAACAAAAACACAAAACAAAAGTTTGAGTTGGTGGTTTTTAGGATTTAGCCTAATCTGAAATCAGCATTTTTTAAAAACGAATTGTACATTTCTAATTCTTTCTGCTTATCCCACAGCTTAAAAAGCATGAACAGATCCTACTCTTCCTTTTAAACAAGTATGGAAATCCAGATGGATTCGCTGAAATGAAACAACTGTTGGAGCACTAAGACTCTGACATGAGCCATTCCATTTGTGTGTATAGCAGGTTGTTGCCATTCCTTTTTTTGGAAGAGCAAGTGTATTCATTAGCTTAAGATTGAGAGTCGCTTTGTAGAAATTCTACTCTTTCTGTACCTGTATTTCTCTGTATGCTTGGATTGTTACTGTGAGATAAATATGTAACTTGAAGGATTGCAAAGCTAAATTTTCTGGTCTGTTTTTGTTTTACACCACCACCATGTGCTGCTAAGCTTTTTCTGTACTTTCGCCGTTGAATGCACATAACTTTATGGAATGGCCATTGCATTGAGAGTCTATTCTGCAAATTTACATTTGAAATTATCATAATCATAAAACTTCAACTTTGGTACCATTATTTTTCAACCATTTGGTACCATTAATTTTACTTGAAAAACTGTATCTTGATTAGTCTTCTTTCAGCTTCATGTCCTGTCTAAAGTTAGATTGAAAATTGTTCTTCACACCCTTGGTTTCAGTATCATTAAAAGCTGAATCTTGTCTCGGACTGATAATGGGTAGTTCTCTCTAAAATCAGTGAACACTGAAATGCGCCCAATTCTCTATCACACACTGCAAGTGTAAATATCCATTTGTGAATAATGGTTTGAAGTAAATTGTATTAGAGCTGTTCTACATGTAGGATATTGTCAGGATTTCTACCTCATCAGGTTTTTTCACATCAGAATGGAAAAATTCCTGTTCTGAAAAATCTCTTATATGACCCCCAGTCAGACTGTCAAAGAACAGCTGAGCAAGGGCTGGGTGCTCCTCTTCTTGTGTCCTTATTCTTGCTGTGGAGGTCTTAGAATCATAGAATTGTCTAGGTTGGAAGGGACCTTAAAGATCATCTAGTCCAACCATCAGTGCATGGTCCCTGCCTCCCAAGGGCAGGGGTTGGTTGCAGGGTGAGTACGGTGGGCACCAAATATTCTACTACTTTCCTCCAGCAGGACAAGGAAAGCTGATTTATGGAAGGGAATCTTCTACTTCAGTATAGCGTTAGCGAAATAAGTTTATTGCTTACTTTCCACAAATACAAGTGGAATTTAAGTATAGCTATTTATAACTCCAAGATGTATGAAGTTAACGCTTTTCAAAGAGTATTAACTTGTGGAGTTCTTTTCTGCTCCTACAGTTAAGTTGGAAAAAACAAAAACAAGCAAAATCCAAATCAAAAAACCCCAAACAACAAAAAAACCACCACCACCTCACCCCCTAAGATCCCCATAATTTTCAAAATGCCCCCCTGCCTTCGCCAAATAATTCCTTTGGGCGTAGTAGGTGTGAATATGGTACTTTTATTTACGGGCAGAGAATAGTTTTCTCTGGAAAAACAAGCATGAGGGAAAACATTCTCATCAACGTGTGGGTTCCTAAAGGAAGGTACTTTATGGGTGCTGGTGGGACAGTGGTGTAACCCGTGGTGGGGGGGTTTCAGTGCTGCTGCTGGACCTCCTGGCTGTGCCCAGGAGGGCTCCAGGGGTGCTGGGGTTTTGATATGCTCCTCTGGATGAGGGGGTACAAGAGTGTGACTCTGAAACGTACCCCACAGCAACGTGGGTGTTCCTGGGTTTGGGTTCTCCCCCCCAAAATCGCAATCAGGATGTGATGGACGAGGCGAGGCTGTCACAGCTGAACGCAATTTAAACCCAAGCGCGGAGGAGGCTGCTCCTAAACCCATCAGGTGCACGAGGGCTTTGCAGAGAAAAGGTAAAATGCTACTTAAGCCGCTTCTTTTTCTTTTTTTTTTTCCCCTTTTTTTAACGGATAGGGTTAGGCACCGTGCGGGAGAGCAGAGGTGCCGAGAGTAAGCCCGGAGCTGGGGGTGCGGGTCCCCCCCGTCCCGGCGGAGAGGAGGGGGCGGCGGGGCGGGCGGCCCCCTCCCGGCTCCTCCTCCGGGCGGGACGGGACGGGCTGGCGGCCGCCACGGGGTGCGCGGAGCCCGGGTAAGCGGCACACGGGAGGGCGAGCGGGACGGGGGTGGTGGTTGCCACCGAGCGGGACGGGGGGTGATCGCGGAGGGGGCGAGTCTTCCCCGGGCCGGTCGGGGGGAGGGTGCGTGTCTCGGCCCGGGAGACCCTCGGGGGTAGCGCCGGGTCGGTACCGGTCCCTGGTCCTCTCCCAGGCCAGGAGAAGACCCGGCACCCCGGGCAAGTTGAGCCCCAGCCTCTGTATTTTGCCTCTGGTGGGACCAAAGTGCCCCCAAAGCACACGCTTTGCTCCTGTGCGCAGTAACGGGGACTGGGGCAGGCTCATCTTGAACAAGGGATGGATTTGTTCACTGTAATGAATAATTAGTGTCGTGTTCTGTTATTAAAATAACCAAAAAAAAAAAGAAGAAAAAGCCCTACCAACCAGAAAACCGGAGTTAACCCGTGCTGTAGTGCTTTAATTGACTTGTTTCTAGCATTTTTGGGGTGCGGCTGGGGGAAAGGGCTGAACTTGCCAGGGCAGGCTTTCAGACAGGTTGCATCTCACATCATCAATGAAAAGCTTTCTCTAGAAGACACAATGGCAACTTGATCAAGACTTGATCAAGTCTTGATCAAGCAATGGCTGAAGGACCTGGAATGATACTTGTAATATGCCCAGGCACTTGGACTTCATTAAAGAAATTAGCATAGCTCCTGTCTTTGAGTATGTGCAACAGCAGCTTTTCCTGATGTGAGGTCATGGCCTGAGGAGGACTTTCTGGCTGGTTCCTGGTTTTGCTACAGATTCAGGCACCTGTCAGCAAGTCACTTCGTCTCTCGGTATTTTGGTTTCTGTGTACATCAAAGAGGGATGGAGATATTTTTCCCAGTGGCCTGGCATGGAAGGGAAATGGGGAACTTCCAAGTTACCTGGGAAAATGTGAACAGACATTAAAATGTGACCTGGAAATTGTGAAAATGATTTTACAGGGGCTTCTGCTAAGTTGACTTCCATTTTGTTTGTCGATTTGCATGATGAGGATGAGGACTGGGAGACAGGTCCCACATAAAACTGCATTTTCCCACTTTTTTCAGAGAGGGCTGCGTGGAGGAAGCCCCCTCCAGGGCTGTGTGTGTGCTGACCCTCTCCTCACGTACGGTGTGCTGGGGTGGTTGACTCCATCATCTTCAATGCTTGCTCCTGAAGATGTCTAGGAGGACTCTAAGAGGAATAAGTAGACAGAATGACTTAAAAAAAAAACCAACTTTTTTGACCTTACCCCAGTTCTGCAGAAGAAAAACTATGGAAGATTCCTACTTTCTAAAGCTCCTTTAGGAAGGGCCCACAGACCTCTGTCCTGAACACGCAGGCAGGTCACAGCTTGTACGTGTTTGCAGGAGTGGTGCTGTGGAGAAAATTGCCAGGCTGTGGCTTGTCCCTGGGGCTCCCAGAGATGCAGCAGGAGGATAAGGTGTGAATTGGGGTTAGTTTTGTAAAAAAGGGCTGGGTACGCGATGATCTTGGCATCACGCATGCTGAGGTGAGGACAGACTGTCTCACATTCTGAGAACTAAATGGAATACTAAAGATGTCAAAAAAGGATTTTTTCCTCCCTCCAGCCTCTGCTGTAGGTAATCTCAGCAACTGACTGGCTGGGAGAGGTAGGGTTCCTCCTCTTCTGCAGGAAGGACAGACCAGAATTTTGTTTTCTCCAGAAGGAGACTTGTCCTAGCAGTCTTTAAGTCCTTGTTCCTGCTTGTGGTCCTGCGAGATGTGTCCTTCTCAGCCAACCAGCAGGCCTGGCTTCGTTAGCAACCAGCGTGATGCTCTTTGGCCAACAGTTTGCTCCTGCCACGGGCAGGGAGCTGCCAGGAACACATCACCTCCGTGTTCTGCCTGTGGGGGAGGCTGGGGGACAGTGATGCTGACAAGTGAAATAACGGAGGCTTTTTGTCTTGTGAGACAAGGTGATAAGTTTCCCTCTGGGAAGCTTTTGGACAAAGGCATCTGTGTGGCGTGGTGGTACTTCAAAGGAGTAAAGCAGAGAGATGACTGTTTACGAGGGCATTTAGCGATAGAACAAGGGGTAATGGCTTTAAACTGGAAGAGGGTAGACTTAGATTAGGTATTAGGAAGAAATTTTTCACTCTGAGGGTGGTAAGACACTGGAACAGGTTGCCCAGAAAAGCTGTGGATGCCCCATCCCTGGAGGGGTTCAAGGCCAGGCTGGATGGGGCTTGGAGCAACCTGGGCTGGTGGGAGGTATTGTAACTGGGGGGGTTGGAACTGGGTGATTTTTAAGGTCCCTTCCAAATCTAACCATTCGGTGATGCTTGTTTACAAGAAAGCTGCCTGCTGCAGGGAGCCTGATCCTCTCCCACCTCATTCTTTGGAACCCACTCACACCTGCTCACGGTGTGGGTAGATTAGTAGTTGATCTGCCTCAGGTGTGGCTGTTTCTGGCTGATGCAAGGCAATGCTGGTGGTGCCCCGAGCCAAGCACCCAGCTGTATAGCTGGTTACCCAGCTGTGACCTTTCCAGATTTGCACAGCTCGAGGCAAGGGGTGACAATGACAATAATTGCACTGGATCCCATAGCCTTGACTTAGTTCCCAGCAAGGAATGTGACCAAGTTACCTGCGTTCTTTGATAACCTCAATATGAAGTTGGTGTATTTATTTGCTGATGCTGGTGGTGGCTCCTGCAGGTCCCTGTACCCCGTTTCTCAGCCGCTCCCCGGTGTCCACACCGGCTGCTGCAAGCGAGCCCAAGTGCCTGCCGTGCTGAGACAGGCTCCGGCTCCCTTGGGTGGTCTGGCACGTGGCAAAGGATAAAAAAGATGAGACATTCATGGAGACGCTCCCGCTGTTCTCGCCACGGGCAAAGTCAGCAGCAGGAGCACTTCTGTCAGAGCAAACTACGCAGTAAGTTTAGCACAAGCTCTTGGGTCACAAAAGTGTCTTTTATTCCGTAACTCGTGGGTCGTGCAGGACCTGATCTGCGATGTGTTGATTTTGACACTACCCCGTGTGAGGTGCAAGATCAAGGTCTCTTTGTGTACAGGAGCCCTTATTGCACGGGGGAAAAGAGCCTGTCAAAGCTCTTCCTCGCCGCAGAACCGGGGGGGTTGAATAAACAAGCTGGTTTTGCAGAACATCTTATGGAAATTTAATCTTGTTTATCTCTTGGTGGAAAAAAAAAGCTGTCAAAAGTTTTAGACTGAAATTTGTGATGTTTGTTTTAAGAAGAACTTAAACATTTCCCTGTCATCTTCTTCCCTCCCCCCTTCAGTTCTGGCGGTCCCCAGCCCCAGGCAGTGCCCGTGGCAGGGCAGAGGGGATGTCTGGAGCTCCCAGCAGAGGTGGCCCACTGCCTCCAAACC